ATCATCATAAAACCTATCCTTCTCCTCTTCCTTCCTACTTTGTTGCGGAGCATATCCTGATATCACCCTCACTATTACTTTTCCAAACACCATCACCACCACAATTACACCATTGCTTCTCCGCCTCACTTCCAACACCTTCTCCACCAACTCTTCTCTTACCATCACACCAACTCCTCCCATACCATCATCCCCCTTCCACCACAACTTATATCTTCCACCTTTAGCCCCCACAAACCTTGTACCCTCACCCTTCCATCTGATCTCCTGTAATGCAGCCACGTCAACCATTCTCCTCTGCAGCTCCTCCACCACTTCCAAACTTCTTCCTGTCAACGTGCCTACATTCCAGGTACCAAACCTCCAACCCCTTGGTCTACAAGTAGTCCTTCCATCTATAGTGCCTTGCACCGCCACACTATAGAGTGGGGTGCCAGTAGCCAGACCATCCACAGGGCCTTGCACCACAACCCCATGGACTGGGTCTCCGGAGATTCTTCGCACCCTCTTCTGCCGGATACTGAGGGCCATTGTTATTTCCGTCATCATAAGTATTATTTTTTGGCTAGTTTTTACGCAGGACGCCCTTCCTTACGCAACCAGTTATAAGCGGTGGGCCTAGCCTTTGATGATCCAACATCACTCACAAGGCAGTGAGGGTCAGTTTAAGATGCACTATCACATCACAAATAATTCAAATTTTAGTAAAGCTATGCCAAAATAGATCAGAGTTTATTGAAAACCATAAATAAAAAATGAAATTAAATTAAAATAAAACTCACGTGGTTACAGGTTTATATCGGTAATTTACAGAAGATCTGCAAAAAAGTCAATATCGCTGCATTAATCAATAACAAAAACATTGAAAAAATATTTAATAAAAATTTTACTTTTGTCTTGCATGCGTGAGTATGTGAGATTTAAGATTTGTTGACTGTGCAAACTTCTTACTGCAGCCTTCGAATGGGCAGACGTAAGGTCGGTCTCCAGTGTGTATGCGGACGTGCGTGCGTAAGTTGAAATCAAGAGAGAACCACTTACCACAGCCTTCAAATGTGCACTTTAAAGAAATAATTAAGAATAAATCTGTAGAGATTATATATGCTCAATGTGGTATATAGAAATAATTATTAAATGATCATTCATAAACATTCATGATGAAAAGTCCTTAACAGAAGTTCTAATTCTAACCCCAAATCCACCTTTGACGTCTGACGTGCAAATTCAACAGCAGTCCTGGTTGGTTCACCTAATTTCTCTAGCCTTCACTTTGCTAACAAAACTAGCAAAACTAATATCTATCTCAGTTGTCATTAATACATTAAACCAGAGGTGGACAAACTGTGGCCTACTAGTTCATTCTGAACAGCCTACAAGCATTATTTGTCTTCAGTTACAAAATTAATAAAAATTATTTTAACAAAAACTGAGCTTCAGATTTTATTAAAATATCTACTGAATTCACTATGTTGTTAATAAACCCAAAAAATTTCACAAACCCTAAACTTTGTGAGTTGTGTCAATTTTATTGTTTAACGTTGATATTTTTTGGTTCTTTATTATGCAGCTATGACATATGCAAAACCGCCTACACCCCATCCCTGTATTTAAACCTGTGCCCCAAAAACTGTACTATCCACACCACACAACGTACATACACGATATATATGCATGCGCAAGCACTGCATTATATGCGCATAGCATATAAAAATCTTTAAATTTCAGACCAACAGTATTCGAACCAGGCCACCACATGCATGGAACATGGCACTTCTACCCGCTGAGCTAACTCGCCATTACAGAAATTATAGCTGAAAAATCCTTGCATAAAATAAATTTTAATGTATCTAAAAAAAGAGTAAACTTCAGAATTAATTCATATCTCAACCGTATATTTACAAGACCGTTGGTTATGCAATCTGAAAATGTCAATCATGCACCCTAAAGATTAGTTAAACTTGTATTCAGTAAAAACCATTTTTTATGGTTTATCACATCATACATACCTTTCAAAAATTCTTACAAAAAAACTAACATCAGAAATTAATAAAATTTTTACAGGCCATAGATAATTAGTTAAATTTTTATACACAAAAATCCATTTTGATTGGTTCAACAAAAACTTAGCTTCAGATTTTATTACTATTTTCACCAAATGTACTTGGATAAAATGTTAATAAACCCTGAAAATTTCACAGGCCCTAGATTACTTTGAGTTATTTGAATTTTACTATTTAATGATTATATTGAACACCTAGCTGAAAAGTCCTTAGGTAAAATAATTTTAAAATGTATTTTAAAAGAAACTAAGCTTCATAACTTATTTAAATTTCAACCATTCATGAAACTGTAAGATATGTAACCTGAAAATCTCAAACGTACTAGATTAGTTAAATTTGGATTTAGTAAAAACCGATTTCCATGGTTCTTCGCACAGAAACTTTGAAAATTTTTTACAAAAAACTGAACATCAGAAGTAAAATTTGCATCATCACACACAGATTCATTATTAATAAAACCTGAAATGTTCACGGTACCTAGTGATTAGTTAAATTTTTATTCACAAAAATGTTTTTACGGTTATTAGCATTGAGCTTAAAAAATTGTTCTGACAAATAAAATTGAGCTTCAGATTTTAAAATTTTCCTAAAAAAATTTTAGCTATAATTTTAATAAATACTAAAAATTTCACCGGCCCTAGACCTAGAAATTATTTTGCGAGTTATTTGACTTCTATTATTTAACACTCATACTGAAATCCTTGGCTGACTTTATGCACTTAAGCTTATCACACTTAGTACACCTCAATGGCCTCAACTATTTAAAACATTTCTTTTTTTATTATTCTTTAAAAATCAGGTACAGCATGCAAGGCAGTAGTATAAAATTAAACATATAAGTAAATTAAAAAAACGGAGAAAGAAAAATGTTTAAGCACGAAAAGTAAAATAAAATGGAATAAAATAAATAATAATAAAATAAATAAAAGAATATAAAATACATTGACAACAAAATGAAGTAATGGCATAAAAAAGCAAATTGATATTTTTTTAATTATATATATAAAGTTTTAAAAAAATATGGAGGTTTAATTTACCTGAAAAGCTTTCTCTCCTGTGTGAACCAGTTGGTGTCGCTTCAATTTTGAACTTTCTACAAAAGCTTTACCACACTCAGAACAAACATGAACCCGTGGTCCATGTGTGTGCAAGTGTTTCCTCATTGTTGCATTGTCTTTAAACATTTTGCTGCAACCCTTAATTAATAAAGACCACAAAAATGTTTAAATATGAAAAGTTTTAAAAACAAGCAAAAACAATGAAAAACCTTGTGAGGGCATGCTACAGTTCTGTGCACATCATCTTGCATTTCAGATGCTTTTGATCTATAAAGTTAATCAACAATTTTGTTATTTATTTGTTGAAAGCCTTGGCATACATAATAAAATTTCATCTGTAAAAAAGATTTAAGTACTTTGTAAAATCAGCCAACTGTTTGGGATCTGTTAGATCAATCCCAGGTAAACTATCTCCAGGTGGGATTTTGTCCCAGAGTAGATAATCAATGCATTCATTGTTGGAAGAAGATATACTGCTCGTTGTCACCTCTTCTTCATTAATGTCTAAGTAATCAGGCTCTCTTTTTATTTCATCTTATTAAAAAATTGAATAAGATTTTTTATTTTACATAATCAATAAAATAAATTATTATAATATTTAATTAAGAAAAAAAAATTTTAAGGTGTAGTAATATAAATAAATTTTAAATAAGTGATAAAAAATGATGTATAATTGTATATAATGTATAGTTATATATATATATTTATATATATAACTATAACTACCTGGAGTAGACCAAACTACAGAATATTCAGCATCATTAAGAACTTGAATATCCTGTGGTTCATCTTGAGTGTTGAATGTTTTGATATGACCCAATTTTGCTTTTTTAGATCCTTTTCGCTTTTCAAATAACTTTTTATCATAATCTCGAGACCTGAATTCATCTTCCGGCTCTACAGTGATTAAGTTATCATATACATCACTTCCATCGGTGTTGAAAACATAAACTAATCCATCTTGACGAGTAAACCCATTCGAAGCGTCATCTCCGATCACAACTTCGGCCGCTTGGAGTACAATTTCTTCACTAAACGGCTCAGAATAACATTCGAGATTGATGTCGTTATTGGAATTGAAATGTTCCACTGAAGTTTCAACATATTCTATGGGTAAACCCACTAATATTTCTTCTCCATAATCATTGATGGCTATAGGCTGTTCTAACGATCCGACATCTTGGATTTCATCCGCCATTTTGACCGACATCTTGATTCCTATTTAATGCAGGAAAAAGGCAAAAAATGTTAAGCCGCTCACTAATTTGAGTTTAATAATAATTTTTTTGACAATAAAGTTTAGAGTCATATAATTAATTTTTAAATTACCAATAAATTATATATATTTAAAAAAAATTTTTACATTTAATTTTGGTTATTTTAGCTATTTTTATTACACTGATGATTTTAAGAGTTGTTTCAAATATTTCTTTACATTTTTTTAATAAGTTGAAATAAATTATTCAATACAAAATTGTTTAAATTATTTATTTTTGATAAAAATATTGTAATTTTGTAATTAAAAAATCTGTATTCCGTAAAATATCTTTCATTGTATTATAGTTCTAAAGTGAGCGATCTCTTTTTATGGGTCTTTTTGTTGATATTTATTATCGCGCATGCGCCCGTTTTTCACGTGTTGTGTGCACTGTAGTGTAGATTAGATGGTATGGCGAGTTCTTCTGCTTTACGAAGTGTTTTGGAATTTTCAAAAACTAACAATTATTTGTCGTATTCGGACTCAAATGGTATTTTAAAAATCTGGGATAGTTTGAACGGTTCATTGAAGCAAGAGTACACACCGACTTCTCATCTGTCTGTTCAGTCGGTGTGCATGTCCTGGGGCCCAACTGCCTCAGTCATCAGTTCCGAGAATTGTTTGGTAATATTTAAAATTTTTTTGACCACTTATTTATCTTTTATCACAACTTATATTCACTTATTTATTTTCATGAATGTTTTCCAGGAGAGCCCTCCAAAGAAACGAAAAAAGAAAGAATCACTGAAAGAAACCTTAGAAAATCTACAGTTGCTGGCTCTAGGTACCACATCTGGTACGATCCTGCTTTACAGTATCAAGCAAGCTGATTTATACTCTACCTTGGTTAGCTTCTTTTTTTAATTAGACATTGATTTAATCTAAATTTCTAAAAATTTCTTACACTGTTTCCAATAGTCTGATGGTCATGAAAAAGAAGTTACTGGCATATGCTGGAGTGATGATGGTTCTTCCATATATTCATGTTCAATTGATGAGCATATTGTACAATGGGATATAGGGAAATCATCCCTAAAGCAGTAAGCACCTTTTGTTGAGATATTTTTTTTTAGAATTAGACTTGCTGTTTTTTTTTATTTCAATATTGTTGGCAATAGGTACAAATTGATTTTTGACATTTTTGTTAAAAATATCAGAAAATTAAAATGGCACAGCATTTTACTGGAATCTTTTTTTCAATGCCAGAGCTATAATATGTGAGGATCAGAGGGCGAATTGGGTCAGACTAATTGGTTGACTTTTGGTTGCCTGACTTACATACCGAACAAAATAAAACACAGTTTTTTTTAATTTATTTGGAAACAAATTGCTATATTATAATTAAATAGTTGTTCTTAATAGGTATTTGAACAAAAATAGTATTAAGATAATACGGCACATTGCGTGGATATCACAAAATATAAAGTGGCTGACGTACGTGGTATTTGCCTGACTTTTGACTTGCCTGTGCCGTCACAGGGATAGCGGGGGCCACATTATTACATAATTGTATTAAAAATATCTTCATACAATAATGAAGTTAATGAAAATCAACAATACTAGGAAGCTTCCTTTTCCTCAGTCACTTGCATGGTGCTTCACAAATGGCATAATTATTATTATTATTATTATTATTATTATTATTATTATTATTGAAAATAACCTCCTTTGATAGTTCAGTCCATTCCATTTTTTGGAATGACACTTTCCGTCTCCATACCTCCACTGTCCTATTTGAAGTTGTCCATGTTTCTATCAGTATTCAATGAGCAACTTAAATTGCATGATTAAAAAATAATGAAAACATAGTTATTGCATCTTTTATACTTTATCAACGGTCAACATTTAGACAAATGCATTTTCAATTCTTTTTTAAAATTGTTCAAAGAATTTTCAGGTCTTTTTAGCAACTCTGGCATAGCGTTCCAAACCATTGGGCCAGCAACAGTAATGTTGTGCGATACTATTTGTAAGCGATTAACTGGTACCGTCTTAAGTTTCATATCGTCTGATCTCAAACTGATATTCGATGTGGATGTTTTCCTGACAAATCTACTGAACAGAGCCAAGCCATTTAATGATTTTAAAATTATGACCACTATTTTGAAGATTATCCTTTTATTGATTGTCAGCCAGTGGAGATCATTCAAAGTCGGCGTAACGTGATCGAACAACAGCCCACCTACCTTTAGTTTAGCCGCAGGATTCTGGATTGATTGTAGAACAGCTACTGACGTCTGGGGTAGCCTGTAGAATGAGAAAATGAGACAGGATGTTATGAGAGCGTGTACTAATGTTTCCATGCTACTCCTGTCTAAATAACGTCTGACTCTGTACAAGCCTCTGATGTGAGCCATACTAGCAACTGATACATTCTTTATGTGTTCTTTCATTGTGAGTTTAGAATCAACCAAAACTCCCAAATTGGATGTTGTTTACATTCACTGAGTGCATATCTATCTTTGTCATCTGCTGCCAAGTACCGGGAGCAACTGGGTTTTGTACTGATTCAACTTCAGCGAATTGCTGGACATCCAGTGTTCAACATCGGTCAAACATTTGACAAATCTATCAATTTCTCTCTGATTCTCTGCTTTCTGTTGAGATCATGACTCAACCTTACTTGAACAAGATCATCACCAACTGTCTTCAGTTTATATATAGTTTTAAACAGTAAATCCTTGATCTTTAAATCATCAAACTTTATCAAGATCGGCCTGACAACATTTTCATTCATCCTTCCCAATTTTTATTAATTTAATGACATTTTTGTCTGTAATAACATTGTCAGAAAGGTGATTTAGGATTTTGAAAACATTTGTCCCATCAGCCTCACTCTCCTGCAGTCAGAATATCATCACATTGTTTTCACGCTTCTTTTTTCTGCCTCTCTGCAAACATTTCACTTCTGTGTTAATTACTTCAACGTTTTTCTTCACCTCCAAATTTATTATGTCGACGTTTTTCTTCACCTCACGACCGACAACTTCTGACCATGAAGACTTTAATTCACTCTTGAAATGTTTCATTTCATCACGCAATTCAACTCTGGATTTTTCCAATGTACACAATTTATTACCATCAGCATTTATTTTCAGTTTGATACCATCAATCTCAGACTTGGTATTTTCATGCATCTCTTGTAAATTTTCTTATTTCATTCAGCAAGATTTTATTATTCTTGTTCACATCTTTTGCTAGCTGCTCTACAGATGGCGAACAATTGACGCAATCGTCACATTTGAAGGTTATATTGGAGCAATTCTTCACTAATTCATAATTTTCACTTGTCATCTGCAAACACTTGTAGTGAAATAGCTGTTCACATTGAGCACACCGCAGACCGGTGCAAAGTTCATAACAATACAAATCACACTTCTTGCATTGTGTTAAGTCCTTGTTACCAATATTTTTACATTTGTCCCAGTTACTCATTATGTACACCCAAAAAAAACAAAGAAGGTAAACTTATGAGCTCAACCAATTATCAAAACAATGCAGGTAAACTTATTTTCACCAACGAATTAGAAGCAAGTAAACCCGATCAGAATACAAACAAAAAATTTCTTACTTGATATTAAATTTTAATTCACAAAATAATCGATATTTTGGGCTTAATTCAAAAAACTTTCAATAAATAACATATCTAAGCAAATTAAATGCACCTACAAATAACTTTACAACAAAAATAACGCCAAATAACTGCCAGAATAACTCAAAATAATTAAGAAATACAAAAAATGCCACTCAATATATATATATATATATATATTTAGGAACGAGGCTCTCTTTAATACAAATGTCGTTAAAAATGGTTACCCAGCGTGCATTTATAATCTTTTTTATTAAAACCTCAACAATTCTGAGTTTGTTGAATTCATATTTATTGAGAAGAAAATTAATTATTATTGAGCTTGGCTGACAGTACTGTTTCGGAGTTAACCATCGTCGGAGCCTATTAGATCAAAAAACACATAGTCAGAAATGCAAAATCTGAAATAAAATATGAATATATATATATATATATATTGTTTTAATGATGATTGTGAAAATTAGGATGATGTCATTATGTCTAAATACCTATTAAGAATAATTATTTAATTATATTATAACAATTTGTTTTGAATAAATTAGGAAAAATTGTGTTTTTGAGAAAAGTCAGCCAATTACCGCGTACTATAATAAACGTCTCAAGTCAGGCACTTAATATTTTGTGATATTTTCGCAATTATTTATTACAATTTTCGCTCAAATACATGTTATTAATAATATATCATTTTTATTAGAACAATTTGCCATGATTAAATTAATAAAAATTGTGTTTCATTGTCTTCAGCATGCAAATCCGCCAACCATAAGTCAGCCAATTAGTCTGACCCGGGCGAATTCATGTATGAGGCGTGTGAGACATGGAAGGGAATTCAACGTTGAGATCTATAAGGCGTGAAAACTGTACACCAAATTGTACGTTCTGATAAGATTCACAGAACTGAGAGGTTTAATGCTCCTTCAGAGACTGAACATTTATGGATGCAGCTTTTTCAAAGTTGAACTAAAGTCTAAATGCTGAGGACCGAGTGTTTCTCAGTAACACAAATTTATTAACTAATGCACTGTCTCAATAAAATTATTGATTGGTCAATATCGCCTCAATTAATAGTTTGTATTAAACTTTTCTGGGAATTGTCAAATTTATTAAAATTTTGAAGACAGTTATCTAAATTCATCATCTAAATGCACATATGTGTGTGTGTGTGTGCGTGCGTGTGTGCGTGTGAGATTGATGTTAACATTGTTAAAGAAATTGTTTGATTTTTTTTCTCCTCAATTGTCAGTGTGCTTTTAAAATGAAACAGAGAGAACACTTGTTCCTATTCCTACTAGGTTGCAGCATTTTAATGGCTTGATGCTTTTTTTTGTGGATTTTTTAATGGTATTGCACACTTCTTATTTTATTTTCCACATCATCTCTGTGGCTTCTGTTTTGCCTGAATTGGAACCAGGCATTATTTTTAAAGATCGTCTTTTATCTGCTTCTTCCATGTTTTTTCGGCAATGTGCTTTTTAACTTTCCACTGTCACTTCATTCAGCAAAGATATCTTCACTGAAATATGTTCAAAATAAATGTACATAAATGTTGTAATTTGTAATCATCACATTTTTCTGTATTTGTGCACCCAATTATAATAAATATACATTATTTGCTTCTCAGTAAATGGAAGGGCAACCAGGGTACGCTGCATTCAATAGCACTCTGTAGTTCGCAGGAGCATCTGCTCGTCGCTGGCAGGCTCATACAACTCTGGAATCTTAAGACAAGACAACTTATTCAAGTTTGCTTTATTTTTTGTTGTTTGTTTTTTAATTCATATTACAGAATTATCATAATTTTGATAAATTTTAACATTCAAATATTTTTGAATCATCTTAAATATTCTGATTAAATTAATAAACTTTAATTTGTGTTTGATGGATGCATAAGTTCTGTAACTAAATCGATTTACATTTATTTCAAGTGGTGTTGTTGTCATATTTTATAATCTGCCCATCTCATATACATCACAGAAGGAAGTCATTCGTCAGCACCTGGCATTGTCCAAGTGTTGACGAATGTTAAGGAAGGAATTGTGCATGTGCTGAGATGACAGAGTAAATTTTACAGAATTTGCCTGCTTATATAACTAATAGTTCTTCAATTTATTTAAATAAGTTTAATTCAACAGTAAGATTACTTTAGATAAATTTTACAAAAGGTTTGAGTGATACAGTTTGAGTAATAAAGAGATAAAATAATGTTTCAAAAATTAATTTAACAATATTGTTTCTTTATTTTTTCAAGTAATCAAATTTTACTATTTGCAGACATTTTTAGGCCACACTTCTGAAGTTACGAAAATATTTGAAATCCCAAATTTAAGAAAAACTTCAAAGTCAAGTGACCATGATGAAAATATGAAGAGAGGTGATGGTGACAACTGTGCTGATCTAATAACCACAAGCTCCGATGACGGAGTATCACCAGTTATTGATGGCAACTATATTTTAACCATGGCTGCCGGTGAAAATAAAATTTGCATCAGGTGATCTTTTTATATCTACATATTTGGCAATCAACACACACATTGGCTCATAATTATTATTCTGAATTGCATGCTAAAATCATTCATTCTATTGACTGTAGACAAATAGATGGGAAAGTGGAACGAACAAGTTCATTGGTTGGTTCACTGCTTCTGCCAGATGAACCAATGCATATGAGCATATCTTCTCCGCTCAATTCAGATCAGGTTAAACAGATTTGTATGATTTTTAATAAGTGCAATTCTTTACATTATCATTGATTTTCTTTCAAAATTGTAAGTAATGAGTTGAGATGACCAAAATTTTGAGATCCCTGGTGCGAGTTTGAGACAACAGATTTGTGGAGAGTTAATGTGAGTATGATATGTGACATGCTGAGGAACATTAAGAAGAATTTGGAAAATTTTCAAAATCCTGAGTAGAAAGTTTTGAATATGTTCTTGCTTGTATCAAGATATGATCACACATTGCTGATGCCACCCATTTGGATCAAGTTGTAAATGGGAGGTTTGCAGCCTGCATTAATAAGTGCTTGAAGATCATTGTCATCTGAATATTGTGGAACACGTATTTTCATTTTTCAATTTAGAGGCTATTACGTTAACAAATAATTGTAATATTACTGTTCAGATTTTGTATGGGTTTGTTTTATAAATTTTTAAATTCACAGTTAACATGCCACATTTATTGATTATAATAAAAAAAAAATTCTGTCCAGGCTTTCAAACTGGCCGTGGTCACGAAGCAGGGTCAACTTGCTTATTTTGAATGCATTTTAAATGGGTTAGTTTCGCTATCATCAACAATTGTTGTACCTAAACATTTTTATAAGCTCGTTGGATTGACTGTTCTGATTTTCCCCCTTCCCTTTCTGTCATGTCGTCATGTGATGTTCTATTTTACGATTTTCACCCACTCCCATTGCATCTAAGATCAAGCCAGCCGAAATTTTCAGAGTAGGCGTATTTCGGGGTAGGTTATCCAGCGAGCATACACCATTTAATGAGCGTTAATTTAATTAATTAATCGTATTGAATAATTGACTTCACGAGTTTGTATCTGTGGTATAATTTTATAAAGATTAGTGAAATCTGAAAGTTTGGTGTTTTTTTTACTAAATTTCAAATATTTACAATGTACAATGTGGCAAGAAGAATTTTCTGATGACAATGCAGGAATTAATCTGCGGATTTCATTAAATTTATGAATAAATAAAGTAATGAATAAAATTCAATAGAATGAAAAGTTTATTGCATTCATTTTTCAACGGTTTTATTACTTAACTCATTCAAAATGTTCCCAGTAAGCACAAGAAGCCTTTGAAGCCCAAGCATATTACAACTATTCGAACGAAGCCTGATGGAAAAGGACGGAACCTAGCAGTTATGGCATGTGGCTTTCCTCACTCCTCACTCAAACAGCAGGGAATGTGCCTGGTGTATGAAGACTTCATCCAACCTATATTTGAAAGAATTGTTATTATTTCAATTTGTTTATTCATTTCTTTTTTGACGTTTCCGTGTGATATATGGAATTTTTTCATCAATTTTCTTGCTGACAAAATACATTAAGTAAAATAATTCAACAATTGGTTATCATTCTTGTTAACTTTCCAAGTTGTCAATATATATGTACTTTTGAAATAATTCAACAACTTATCATTTTTGTTATACTTCTAACGTTTGAAATTTTCCAATATTCAGAATATCTCTGAGTTGCAGTCTGAACTAATCAGAAGAGATCCAAAAAAGAGGAGCAAGGCTAAGATGCAAGATGGCCTCATTAAAGCAAGAACTCCTCTAATCTCGAAGGAGGCTCATCTTGTTGGCCCTGGAATGACTTGTCCTTTTGCTTCTAGAGTAGTCGTTCCCGAGGAAGACATAACAGTTGACACACCGAATAAATGTACTTCCCGAAAAAGAAAAAAATCGATAGTTGTTGGTGAAGAGGAAAAGGAGGTTTGTTGTTTGGAGATTTGCAATTATTTGCAGTTTATCCTTAAAATAACTTTTTAAATTCAAGTATGCGCTATGCATGCAGTTTGTTATTAAGCAATTGGGATGCATGTATGTTAATGCATCCACAATCATTCGAGCGTGCATGTTTAATGTTGTAGTTGTATGTTGTTTCGATGTTCAGTCAATATCAACAAGCATTTGAGGTAAAGTTCTGTTTTTTGCTCATTTTATCATCCTGCATGCATTTATTTATTTTTCTTATTTTGGTCTGCGTTAAATACTTTTTCAAAACATCATATCAAAGTTGAAAGCCTATTAATTAGAAAAAGCTAATATGAAAAAAATTTAGGTCAAACCGGAATTAACTTATAAATGGTATTTAGACATAGCAAATATATCTGCTTTGCTGTTGATAGTGTATCAAAACAATAACAACATGAGATTAGGTTCTTACAAATGTATGCTCTTATCTACAGTTGGATGTGCATGCTGAAGATTTAAAAATATCTCGCATATCATCAACACTCTAGAAAAAGTTTGCTAAAATAAATGGCATAAATCAGTTTTTTAACTTTTAATTAAAAATTTCCGTTTTTTTTCTTTATGTTCTGGTCAATTTAAAAAATTTTTTATTTTATACTAATTTTTTTGTTTTACAGTAAATATTAACAATAATATGTTTTGGTTTTTAAAATAATTAACTAATTAAAACAAAGATTTTTCATGTTGAAATTATCTAATTTTCATCAGATAATGAGCAAGCAAAATAAAGTTGAATACACATAAAAAACACTCAAATATTCCAAAAGTTTTGAAATATAAATAATGATTTTAAACATACAATGATTTATCTTCTTTCTTCGATAAATCTTTTTTATTTTTACTACAAAATTTGAATGTTGGGTGTTCACATGACGACCTTGTGACATACTACGTCAATACAATTTACAAAGTAGAGCCATCTGACACAAATTTGATACGATGTTAGCTATGAGATCTAGATCTGCATCATAGTTTTCATCTTTACTAGCGTGAAGAACAAAGTGGAAGGGTATCCCTCAGAACAGAAGAACAAAGTGGAAGGGTATCCCTCAGAACAGAAGAACAAAGTGGAAGGGTATCCCTCAGAACAGAAGAACAAAGGCATTATGTTTTAAACCGAAAGCAGAAAGTTTTTCCTTTAAAGAATATTTTACACGGAATGCAATCCAAAGTGGTATAGGATCATTTGTTCATCAATACTGAGGTTGTGGGGAAAAACAACAAGCTGTTCATATCAAAATTGGCATCCATCAAGTCATCATATTGATTGACTTTATAATTCTACAATAATTTATAAATTTGTATTATGAGAAATGAAGAAATGACCTCTCCTCTGTTAGCTCAATAACAAACTAAACAGGGCTTTTAATTTAAAGTGTTCCATTAAACGTTCTGGTTAAGTGCCAAAATTAAAAGTAAACCTGACTATTTCATAATTTAAAAAATCTGAGTATTTCAACCAGGTATGAAGTTTTATATTTATTTTTGGCAATAGTGGCGAAGATATCAAAGTTTTATTTGCTTAAGGCGGTCAAACTCAAAATGTAATTTGGATGGGTTTGAAACAAGCTGAATGTAAATATGTGTGTAATGAGCTTAAGTGATTGAACACTTTATTTGTTCATGCAAGCGTTCATAGATTTTTATGGCAGTCTGGTAGTCACGTTTTATCACATTGCTTCAATCTATCTACTTTTATGGTCAGATTACGAGGTTATTAGTAATAAGTAAGAAAATTATTTTAATTGATGTTCATTGCAAATTGAAATTAATACTTTTTAACAAACTTGAAATTTCGTTGTCACAGATGTCACTCGGCAGTAGGTTGTCAACACTTGATCATAAAACAGGCCAAGGTACGTCAACGAGCTCATCAGCATGTACACAACAACAAAGTGCTGTTCAGAAGGCTGAAAGTTTGGCATTGTTGTTAGCACAAGGTCTTCAAAGCAACGACAAGTCCATCCTAAATGTTTGTTTTTTGTTGCTGCATTTATAATTTTTTAAATTGGGCATCACGAAGTTGAGGCAAATGCAACAATTTTAAATGCTAATGGCAAGTGAATTTGCAAATGGTCGAGCAGAAATTATGCTATGCTTTTCTTGCTGAACATGTGAACCTACTTCCCATGTGCTCGCTTGCTTTCAAGTCATGTCTCGCGCATATGATATATGAATCAGCTTCCGCATCTTGAATCTATTTTGAACGGTTTTTTGATGGTGAGGAAGAGTAGAGGAAGAGGTTTTGCATGCATTATCATTAAAATACTTCATTTTGAAATTGTGTCAGGCGGTCCTGCAGAAGACCGACACAACTTTCATAAGGACCACAGTTGCCTGCCTGCCACCATCCCATATTAGTGAGCTCATCAATGAAATTTCCAGACGATTATCGGGTCATGCCCAAAGGTTTGTTGTCATTCCTTTCAATCTAATTTTCGTTCATTGTTATGGTGTTTGGTAGACTGAAATAAAATCTATTTTCTATGGTTGAACAGTGGCAAAATTGCATGTAAATGGATGAAGGCTCTGCTCAGTGTGCACTCTTCATATCTTACCACGGTTCGTTTATCACTTCTGCCACGATACAACTTTCAATCAACGCTCTCATTCACATCATTTGTTTGATTTCATCATCCTTTCTTTGTATTTATAAAGAATGTGAAGCTTCAAAAATGATGGAAAATTTTTTTAGTTGCCGGACGTTGATGAGGTGTTAGCGCCAATAATGCATTACTTAGAGGCTCCGGTTGATGTACTGTCCAAGTTGATGCAGTTGAGAGGCAAGCTGGAATGCATTGTTGGCCAGGTGATGAGTCATTCATTCCTCAAATTCGTTCAATCTTCTTTTCTTAATTGGCATGATTTGATTTCGTTGGCAGTTATTGGAAAATTAAATTTTTTTGATCTTGTGCTACACTGCTTCACCAGTGCCATCAAATTAATGTTGAATTTTATTAATCATGCATTTCATTATTTATATTGATCAAACTACATGACAAAACTCACATAACAAGGATACATTTGATTCATTAAATTGTTTAACTTAAACAACTGTAACCAAATTAACATCATCAAATTCATCGTCATCCTCATTGATGATATCATTATCGTCTTTGCAACCATCAACTTCGCGGTCATCATCTTGTTAGGGGTTAGTTAACCCACCCAGCCATGTTGCTGGTTCATGTTGCACACCCACTTCAGTGTGGTTATATGAGTCCATTTTTTTTCATTTACATTTCTGTTTCAGCTATTTTACATGTTTATCTTCATTTCCTTTTCCACTATTAATGACACGACATTATCAAAAATTGTGCTGATGATATTAAACAAACATCTTTCCAGTTTGCCTCCAAAGTGGAAGTTCAATCGGTTGGTCAACTACGTGCTGAGAATCGTGCCATATGCAACATCAATCATGGTTCGTTATGTTTGGATGTACTTACATTTGTTTGTTTATATGTTTGGTAGAATCTGCAGTCAAGTTTGGTTTTTTATTTAGTGAACGCATGAAGCTGAAATTTTGGTTTTGACCAAATCCGAACCTTCACCCATGATCCAAGTTTTGGCGGACTTTGAAACACAACACATTTTTCACGTGCAGTCAACACGCATCAAACTAAAAAACTGTTGAAAACAAAAAAAATATCTGCTAAATTACAAAAATTATTAAACTATATAGATATTTTTGATTTTCAAAATCGAAAAATTCTTGAACGGATTTTGGATTTGAGCGAATTTTTGTCAGCTAAATTTAAATGCGTTTATAATAGAGCAGCACTGAAGGTTCGGATTGGTTGAATATTCGGTCGAAGTTTGACCTTTGGCCACTTCTAGACCAGATAGCAGGGTATTCAATTTTCGTTTTAGCCATCACTTTTTTGATTCCAAAACAATAATTGTTGAATATTTTATTAGTGGAAAATTTGAATTTGAGCGAAAAATTGAATATTATCTTGATAAGGAATTGTTGAATAGAAACGATTTGAATTGTTTTTTTAATAACTTGTTTTTCATTCTGAAAAAGAATTTTTTTTAAATTGTTGGCTTTTTGGTTTTCGTGCATCTCTAATTTATATTTATACATGTGTCTTTGTATTTAAATTTATCTTTTTATATTTATGTAGGTGTATATTTATATGCATGTATGCACGCATTGACACGTTGTGCATTTATACATTTTTGTTCCAGTATGTGTAAGGTATTATTAATCATTGAGCATATTATATATATGCGAAATGATTTGAAGCAAGAAGAATTAAGATTGCATCGCTTGGACCATCTGATTGATGTTACTATCTTGATTGTCTTAATTTATTTTAAATTACCAAACATTGGCACCGAGCCCTGTAATGGAGGAATTTGTTTCCAAAATATGTTTACATGTTTGCTGCTTGCCTAATCGCACATGCTTTTATTGTATACATAAGTTTTAATGCACATTTTTTTCTTTTTTTGTCTGTATGTTTGTATATGATATTGTTTACAGAAATCGGTATAGAAATATAAATTCAATTTCTATTTAAGTTAACTTATTTATTGAGTATTGACTGGAATGTAATATAGCAATTTTTATGCGAGCTTGAGTCTAGTGTTGGCAGGCGCAGGCTATTGAAGCTATAGTCACTATTTATATTATGAAATGTAATAAATGCACAAATCAGGCTCGGTCAAGATTTGTTTGTGTTTTTAAATCCGGTTACATTCCAATGCAATCAGATTTGAGAAAATCAAATCTACTCCTAACGTTCTATATAATTTAATGTATTCAGCTTAACTATTTTTTGGCTTAAATCACAAATTTTTTCAAAAGCATGAGAAAGTTACTATTTAAAAAAACACATAAAAGTAAATTTCGTTGTGGTCGAAGTTTTGGCCGAAACAAAATTATTTGGCCAAAACCTTCAGTCGGTCTCTGTTTTTTTTTATGTTTGTTTGTTTGGTTAGTTGGTTGTACTGTCAATCATGGTTTGTCTGTTTGGTTGCTTGTCGAACATGGTTTGTATGTTTGCGTTGGCCGGTATGTTTAAAGTTCCGTAGTGTTAATCCATTTAAATATGTGGATTTAATATTATAGTTTTGTATTTTATTCGCTGCAGATGATGACATGTTGATAGAAGATGTTAGAAATCACGTCTCTATGGAGGTTGGTAGTTAATTTAGATATTGTCATATCAATTGAAGTGTTTGCTGATGAATTAAATTTTTTCATAACTATCAGTCATTATTCATCTGTGTACAACGACTACCCTACCAAACTCAAAAGAAAACTCTATAATTTCATTTGATATTAATTAACAGCTGTATTTTGATGGGTAAAAACGCAAACAGTTTCAGTGGAGATGTAAAAGAGAAAGACTGCAAAGCAATGAAATGTTGCAAGAATTTCAACTTAGGTTGATAAGCTCAACAGTTAAGTCGCTGACATAAAAATTTGAGTTGTATATGATATATCTTGTGGAGATGTAATATGAAATGGTTTGATCGTTTAGTGAGAATGGAAAAAGAAAGTGATGGGAAAAGATATCATGTCCTGCTATTATGAAAACCCAAAGATGAGCAGGTTGAAATCAGAATCAAGTGTAGCAAAAATATCCTTTGCATAAATGCAAGGCTTGGTAGTGCATTATAAGCCTCATTAAATAGTGAAATAAATCCATAAAACAGTTGAACGGGTTATGAAATATATATATATGTATATATATATATTAAAATTTTTTTGAGTTTTTGTGGGAATGAGTGAATATGGGCATAACTAAAAATTTTGTAAGCTTGTTAATGTGATCCCAATATACCGCACTGATTTTTGGTTTAACAGGACAACTGGGACGAAGCTATCATTTTGCCTGAAAAAACCATTGATACATCCGAAACAACTACAGAACAAACAGTTTCTCCGTTATCTTCAACTGCAAAACAAAAAAGCAAAACAAAGAGTCCAAAAAAGTCTTTGAAAAAACCCAAAACGTCAGATTATAGCGAAGATGAAATGAACAATGTAATGGTCATAGGATAATCTTGTTCTTTTTTGGTTAATGACTACTGTTAGTTACATAGTTGATGACGCGTGAACGAATGAGTAATCTACAACAATATATCGTTATCACCTGATCTAATCAATTTATTATTGTACTATTTTGGGCTCACGCACGATCTTTAGCGTTGAAATTTCTGTGTCCACTTGAGTCATATTTTTCAATGAAAATAAATTTGGTCGTTTTTGATATACGTAGTTATCGACTGGATGAGTGGTATTTGAATATCTTCCAATTTGTTTTGCGTATCATGATTGTTGAAATTTGTGGTTTTGTTCTATCAGGTGATTAATTTATAAAATTTCTGATAATTAATTTAATGTGCACATTCAAAGTCAGTTATATTGAAATCCTGGCGAAAATCCGATTTTTATGATACTGGTTTGAAAAATTAACTGAATAAGTTTATTGTAATTAAAAACGCGCTACGGACTTTTCAAATTCTCGACAGCAAGTAAAGGATAACACTTGACAACTGTTAACGATTTTTATTGATGAAAAATTAACGTACAAAATCTATTATATAAAAAAATATTTGACAGAATAAATATTGATAGTAGTTAACAAAAAACAAAAACTCACGAATTTGTAATACGTACATATAATAACAGCACATAAATATGCGATTTGTTTTTAAAAGAGGGTTGCTGCGCTGCAAAACATGCTTGGTGCCAGCTTCGTGACCAAACTCGTTTCAGATATTATGGAAGCTGCTTCTATACCTTTAGACAGGCAGGTGGGTGCCGCTTGCAAAATTAAGTAAACATGAAAAAATCATGGTCAGGTTCCTTCTGCAAAGGAGGAAGACGAGACGGGCTAATTTCTCCAGCATCTGCCGTAGGTGGTGGTTGGGTTAAGTGCGTCAGACATGACCGAACCAGGACCAAGAGGTTTTCGCTGCAATGCACAATGTACTGAAAATTCAACAATTTCTGTAAAGTGGTTGTCTAACGGAGTCGCCTAGCAGAACGCAAGACAAATGTCCCGTCATCTAACTGAATAAAGCGTGCATGTCTGTGTGTGTGTGCATTTACACGTGTATGTCTGTACCAAGGAGCGTGCAGGTGGGCTGTGGCAGAACATATCTAAACAATTATCAGAACGATGCAACGATGAATAATAGCAACGGTAAAGAGTGATGACACGTAAATACAATCCTTGCGAGGATCAAAGGATAGCGAATGAATTATGAAACGAAAATATTTACAAAGATTACATTCCTTTTAAGTACCTGGGCTAAAATATGAACTGCAAAATACTATTGTTTATAACTTCTATCTAACATGTCAGTGGAAACTATAATAAATAACGCTGCTAGCAATACTGAAAAGGGAAAAATAGGTGGTGGGCTGATGATGGGATAAATAATAATAAAAAATAGTAGTAGTAGTAGTAGTACAAGACCATATAAACGATGATTACAACTTTGAAGTACCCTGCTACTGACGCAAGAGATTAGAGATTTGAAAGAATACGATAACATTGGTAACTTGAATTTTAAAGACATGGATGACAATGAAAGAAACAAAAAAGGTAACAGATTTTGCAACATGATGAAACTCAAAAAAATAAACGACAAAAGTGTCAATAACCGTGGCAATATTAACAAAGTGAAAACCATTTTGAAACTCAAATAATAATATCAAATAGAAAATTTAGTGGTAATGTATCAAAAACAATAAACGCAAGTGAATGAAATTCCCAGTCAACAATTAAATACAACTTATTAAACCATGGGCTGTATGCATGATCTATAAATATGATAAAATAAACTTGTAACATACATGACAGAAAAATCGCAGATGGTAACAACCCGAAATTTATCTGAAGCAGTTATATTGTCATTTTGCAATTGACAACAATTGTAAAATGTACATCAAAGGGGAGCAAACTTCATCTGAAGACCACTTTTAGAATTATATAGGTTTTGGAGGGCCGCATAGGTAGAAATATTACAATATATACAATAAACGTGTCATACTAAAAAAAGTATTTACACAAATTTGCTTAAAATAGTTATCAAAATAGCAGTTACTTTTTAAAATTTGTTAAAAAATCTGCATTTTTTTCAAACCAGTTTCAGATACAAGTTGACAAATAATTGAAATTGTTTGTTTTTATTCGAAAACATGTCGTTATTCTCCTTAAATCATTTAAAATTCAGCCATTCTGCATTGGCCTATTTTTAGACTTGCTCATATTTAAAGTTTAAACAGTTTTGACAAAAATATGTGAACTTAATGAGAAAAGTTTCAAAACAAAGAATTCTGGATGAGCTCAGACAAGGAAAAAACGAAAAACAAATTATTACTAGGAAATCTTGTTTTCAAATAACATTTTAAAATTGAAAATGCAAAAACCGCAAAAATTAAATTTTTCAGACGCAAAAATAGTCTACGTTCAGTGTCTGCAGGCCGCATAAATAGACTGGCAGGCGGCCTGCAGTTTGCTCACCCATGGTGTACATTAATATAGTTATTGACAGTTGCAGAAAAATAAGACAAAATATAACGTGACAAAATGAGTTACATAATTTATTTTACAGCATGATAGATAAAATAACTGTATATGTAAGCGACAGATACAAAATACAAACAAAAAATTAAACATGAATGAACACGATGAACCGCATAACTAAAATGTAATTTTTCTACTTGAAAGAATAGTTTTAATGTCATCTGCTTTTAAAAACTGTACAATTTAAATTAACTTTTAAATTTTGGAAGTAAATGCACAAAAAGCAGAACTATACGGCGATACAAAAAGACCATAAAACACAATGTTTTGTATGCACACATGAATTCACCAATGTACACTTACGTACAGGCGGAAACATAAGCGTACATTTAAGAACATACAAATTAAAGGCTGCCTATGTGGTGAGCACGCACACAAGGAATAAGAATATTGCACAGCGCGACACATCTGACGCAAACACGTAACACTTCATAAATTATATGTAAATGCCATGTATAAATAACCCACCCGCGCGCACACACACGCAACACACACAAACATATATATATAATATTTACATATATATATGAATTCCGAATTAAAACTGGCGCTATATAAATGTTGACAATAATAATAATGTGTGTAACAGTTAATAAAATCCACCAAATTCTTAGCTTGTGATAAATTAATCTTTTTGATTTTTCTAATTAACCGAAATATGTTGCGCAATTCTTAATCTCTGAGACATGACACAGGTTATCTGCGAGTTAAGTTTAAAAACAAATCATGGTCTACGGGCTTGTTCCGAGAGCAAAAATCGCTTGTGTATAAAGTCTTCCGTTAAAAATGGGAGACCATGTAAATTTGAAACTTTTGTCCCATCAATTTTTTTTTAGATCGGTTTAATTTAATGTTTTGAAATATTTTTATCGTAATATTTTAATTATAAATCCTTTTAATAATTTTCAACATTTTCGGTTAAAATTCAATATTTTTTATTTATTAAAAAAAAATATTTACCATTCTTTAAATATTTTTCAAATTTTTAAAGCCGTTTTTGGAGTATTTTCCATTTCATTTTTGGTTTTATCGTTTTCAGGTTGAATTTTGGTTTGATTTATTTAAAGTTTAGAAATTTTAATCTATTTTTAATGTGGAACTTATTTAAAAAACGAATTTTTAATTTACAGATTTATTTAAATGAAGAATTACAACTTTCTTAGAACAGTTTTCAGGAATTTAATTATATTTTTATGGTGGATTACAAAAAAAGACAATGAAAAGTTAATATTGTAGTGTGGAAGTCAGACGATGTTCCATGACAAACTGTAGATCATATTTTCAGGCCGTCGTAGGACCATTAATAAATTACCTCCTTAAAACTCCTTGTTAAAGCCTAGTAGACATCTCGCGCGATTAATTTATTATTAAACAATAATTTACTGTTAGAAAAATTGAAAAGATTAATCATAAACTATCAAAAGCTACCAATTATTAAGATATCATTAATTATGGTGTTCTTCCAGTGTATATATATGTATGTATATATATATATTTTAAAGGCTGGAAGGAGGCCATAATTGATGCAATAGTTGATAAAATTTACCAAATATATAGATTTTGAAAGTTTATGATTGAACTTTTCAATATTCATGGTGAAGCGTATAGGCCATATTTCGATTTTACTCATCATCTATATAACACCCATATAAGCGCTGATGATGAGTAAAATTGAAATACGGCCTATACGCTTCACCAACGATTTTCTTATTAATTTTAATAAATTGGATAACAATCACAAAATTAATATTAAAATTATTGAAAAGCTCAATCGTAAACTTTCAAGAGCTAAAAATCCGGTAAATTTGTTCAAATACATACATATATATGTATATATATATATATATATATATATATATATATATAATATATATATATATTTATATGTGTGTGTTGTGTGTAAAAACGAAAATAATGGAATAATGAAAGCAGCAGCAGGCAAAGCAGAGGAAGACCAGTGATG